TTTAGGAGGTGGCCAAGTTTTACATTTATAGAAAGCCACTACTACCTTTCTCTATAAAATATAGATAGGGCGAGTAGGGATCGTCCCAAGGGATTTGATGGTGTATCGAATTGTGAAACTGTGGTAATTAGGGTTAGTAGGTCGAGTGATCACACAATTGGTTGGTTGGTTGATTAAGCTAAATTGAATTCAACTAAATAAAATAATATGAGGTAAACAAGAGAGAGAGAGGTCTTGGGGTGTAGAGATCACCACCAAGCAATACTTTTCTATACTACTAACAAGTGAAAATTGAGGGTAATGGATGTGTTGCAATATGATAATGGTGTGTGTACATTAGGTTGATTCAATTGGCAAGGATGACAAATCAAGCAAGTATTGTCTAAACATCATGTGAAGAGCACAATATATCTAAACAATAGAGCATATATTGTCTAGACAACATGGGGATAGCACAATAGATCAAAACAAGTTATTAATCCTTCATTAAGCTAACAATCCACATGCAACACAATGTTAGAGGAATATGCCATTTGGACTCACAAGCATGGAACATCAAACATCAAGAGTAGATTGTCCTCCCATCTAACATTACACTACCACTACACTAAATCTACACTACTAGCATGAAAATAAAGCTATCTAGACTAGGGGAGAGGCACAAACCATCAAGATTAGGCATAAACCATCAAATGAACCAAAATAGCATTCATTAAGCATATCATCTTGATAATCTCTAGATCTATAGCATCAATACACATAGACATGCATCAAAAACACTAAATCTAGAGATAAGCACAAGAATATCCTACTCTAGCATACATAGACATATGGATAGAATAGAATAGTCAATTGGAAGCATTAAACCATACAAACCATGAAATAATCAAGATTTATATATACATGAATATCAAGATGTATCATACAACACTAATCCCTCAATAATACACAAGATTAGAGTATAGAAAGCATGTTTGGGGCTAACTCTAGCCCCAAGAAGATGTCTAGCCACTAATGGTAGTGATGATCCAACCCTCAAGGGCTAACTCCATGGCTGCTCCTTGTTGGTGAAGATCTCCTCCAATGGTTGCTCTAGCGTCCTCCCTTCTTCCTCTCCAAGAATAGCCTCCAAGATGATTTTTAATGTGTGACAAGAAACTCTAGAGCCCCCCTCCAAAAAAATGTATCATATTCCTTATATAGGTAGGTCAAATGCACCCTATGATGAGCTATGTTCGTGCAAGGCATATTCTCCAATGATTGGATGAAGGACGGAATAAATGAGCTGGACTTTAACTTTTTCTCGCTGGAGGAAGTTCGATCGATCGAACCTTAACTTAGATCGATCGAAGATGGGTTCGATCGATCGAACTGCATCTTGGATCGATCGAAGTGGTCTGACTCCTCCGGATAAGGACAAGGCTGAGATATTTCGAAGATATTTATGGGGAAAAGGACAAAAGTGGTTGGTAGGCGTACAGCTGTGGATAAGATCAATCATTTGAATAGGACAAAATAGGGTTCGATCGATTAAAGGTGATGATCGATCGATCGAACCTGGAATTTCAGCAAAGGCAAAGGTTGGATCTATCGAAAAGTACTATGATCGATCATAGATGTTCGATCGATCGAACTCTAAGTTGGATCGATCGAACTTTTCAGCTGCACAACTTAATTCCTTTTTGCTCCTTTCTTTCTCCACTTTGCTCCCTTCTTTGGTTTATCTCAGGATTGCTTCAATTAAGCTCTTATTTGGCTGAGTTAGCTCAATTTTGGGATTAGTGCCTGAAAATATAAATAACACGTAATAAGTCTAAAACGGCAAAGTAAGATAGATAAAGGTACTAGAATGCTTAAGCTTAACGGGTTTAAATGCGCACTTTTTGGTGCTCATCACATAGTTGTATAGTTGTTCATTTCATTCCTTTACTTTAAATTTCATTGCTAAGGACTATTAACATTTAAGTTTGGGGGTGTGATGAGCGCTGAAAAGTTCGCATTTAAACTCCTTAAGCTTTGTTATTCTAAGATCTTTATCTGTCTTGTTTTCCCGTCTTAGACTAATTTCATGTTATTGCCCTTTTTCAGGCGCTTATTCCCAAAATAAGTTAATTCAGCCAAATTAGAGCATAAAAAAAGCTAACTCAAGCTGGATGGAAGAAAGGAGCAAAGTGGAAGCAAAGTTGTGGAAAAGCAACAAGTTAGATCGATCTCAACAATTCTTCGATTGATCTAGAAATGATCAATTTAGACATTTCAAGATGGATCCAAGCCTTTGTCCTTATCCAAAAGATTTCACCATCTTCGATCGATCCAGCTTTTCTTCGATTAATCGAAATTGTTTGATCATTTCCTCACATACCACCCCATCTATCACTTTTGTCTCTTTCCCAAAATATCTTAAATATCTTAGAGATTTATCTTTATTCAAAAAGGCACCGCCAAGGATGATTGATCTCTGCAGCATTCGATGGATCTCACCTTAGTTTGATCGATCTCACCACAGTTCGATCGATTGAACCTCCTCAAGCCCAAATTAAAATAAAGTCCAACTCATTAAAAGATAGCTCACGGTGTAATCATTGAGAGAGCCTTAATGCACAAGTCCAAACCATTGGGTGTGACACTTGAGCCTCCTATATAAGGATTTTTAGCCACTTTTCGAGCGGATTCATTCACTTTTCATATCTTGATATCTCAACATATCATCTATCTTTGAGAGGAGGCTAAAGCATAGAGAGCTTTACACATTTTTGGGAGTTCTTCCATTCTTCTAGGGTTTCTATCAAGAATGAGGCCATTCCTACCATGGAGATAGCCCTTGAGGGTTGGATGACTACTTCAATGAATGGCTAGACATCTACTTGGGGCTAGAATAGCCCCTTAGTTTGCTTCCTAGACCTAGTGCTTTGTATATTTTTGGGGATTTACTTGTAATAATTGTTTTGATCTTAGATTTATATATATATCTTGTGGTTTCTACGTGATGTGTATGGATTAATGCTTTCAATTGATTATCTATTTCTAATCATATGTCTATGTATGCTAGAATGGATGATTCATGTGCTTTTATCTAGATTTAGTGGAATTTATGCATGTCTATATGTATGGATGAAGTTAATCTAGAGACGATCAAAACATAGTGCCTAATTGAACACTCTTGTAATTTATTTGACTGTTCACACTTGTTTATTGATGGATTGTGCCACACCTTTAGCTTACTTAGTTTAATTTCCATGTCTTTAGTGTGGATGTAGTGTAGTTGCTTTAAATTCATAGATAGGTGGATAATCTATTCTTGTTCCTTGGTATTCCATACTTTGAACGTAAAGGGTGTATGTTTCTAGATAGTTGTATGTGCATAAATTGTGGTTTCATTGAATGAATTTTGGTCTCATTTAATAGGTTGTGCTTTCCATTTGAATTGGCTAGATAATCTATACTTATTTACCATTGATGCCTAGTTTCAATTAATGTTACACACACACACAAATTACAATTCAATTTCCCCATTGATATACAATTGCTAATGTCTAGTGAAGTCAAGCTTAGTGATGAGATCTAGTACCCTAAGTCCTCTCCTCTATATCTTTTTCCTTATCTTCTAAAGTTATTGTATTTCACTTGCTTTAATTTCAATTGCATTCTAGTTTAATCAACCAAATAATCCACTTTTGATCACTCGACCTACTAACCTAACTTTGTTTCCTTACCACATTGCCTCTAATCCCTTGGGACGATCCCTACTCACACTAGCTATATTTTTAGTTAGAGGTAGTAGTGGCCTTTATAAATTTAAAACTTGGCAACACTATTTTGCACAAATTTGGTTGCATCGCGACGCGCACGCCAGTTCCAGCTGCTAATGAAGCTGAGACAAGTCACTTACGCAAGGAGCAGATGGATCACCTTCTGAAGCTGCTTAAATTTAATTCCTCATCCGGTATTCCTAATGTTTTTCTTGCACAAACAGGTAGTGCACTTAATGCCCTTTCTTTTTTTAAAATTTTACTCAATGGATCGTCGATTCTGGAGCCTCTAAAAATATGACCAGCCTTTCTAATCTTTTTAGCATTTACTTACCATGTTCTAGCCTTGAAAAAATTAAAATTGCAGATGGTAGTTTCTTGGTGTGCCACCTCTCTTGTCGTCTATGATGATAACCAAATTACAATGTGATGTGAAATATGGTCAAATTTGAATTTATAGAATGTTACTACCACTACTAACTATTAAATAAGCAAGAGTGAGTAGAGATCGTCCCAAGGAAAATGAACGCTACTTTGGAATCAATGTTGGATTAGTAGATCGAATGATCAAAAGAGGGTTTGATTTGATTAAGTTAATGGTTCAATTAAAGCAAACAATTAAATGACAATCTAGAATTTTGAGAAAGTAATATGGGAGAACGGTCTTGGGGCTTAGAGTTCACCATTAAGCTTTGCTTCACCAAACACTAGCAATTCTAAATTAATGGAAAAATTCAAGTTGTAAAATGTGTGTGTGTGACACTAATTGAAAACAAAGCATAATGGATGGCAAATAAGTATAAATTGTCTAGTCAATCTAGTAAATAACACAACCTATCAAATGAGACTAAAAACCATTCAATTAAACCACAATTAGTGCACACACAATAATCTAAAGAAATGTACTTCTTGCACTCATAAGTATGGAACATTAAACAACAAGAATAGATTGCCCACCTATCTAAGAAATTAGAGCAATTACACTACATCTAAACTAGTGACATGAAAATTAAGCTAATTAAACCAAGGGAGTGGTACAATCCATCAAGAAATAAGTATGAACTATCAAATAAACCACAAGAGTAATCAATTAATCACCATGCCTTGACCATCACTAGATTAACAACATCAACACACATAGACATGCATCAATTTCATTAATCTAGAGGAAAATATATGAACATTCATTCTCGCATGCATAGACATATAGATAGAAGTAAATGGTCAATTGAAAGCATTAATCCATGCAAATTATGTAAAAATCACAAGATCTATATTTATTCATGGTCAAAACATCAATTACAACTAAAATCCGCCAAAATACACAAAAGCTAGGTTTAAGAAGCAAGCCTAAGGGCTATCTCTAGCCCCAAGGGAAGGATTTAGCCACTCATTATACTAGTCGTGGAACCTTTAAGGGATAGCTTGGAGGTTGGGATCATCATCTTCATCCTTACTTTCTTCCCAAAACCCTAGTTCTAGAGAGATAAACTATTTCTATATTTGGTAAGAACAACTCTCTATGATATTTTTACAATAATTATTCAATATATCTATTACAAGCCTCTTTGAGTAGGCACCAAGTCAGAAATATAGCCTATGATTGGAGGAAATTCGCAGCTACTCAAGTTAGATAGAGTCCTGCATGCTCGGGAATTAGACAACACACTGCCAGCAGTCAGTTCGATCGATCAAACACTTATCTTCGATCGATCGAAGCTGACGTGTCCTCAAAAATATCTTCCGGGCTTTATCCACAATGCTGAGCTGGCACCGCCTCATTTTGATTGATTATAGCCAGCTTCGATCGATCGGGATTTCCTTCGATTGATCGAAGTTCCTCTGGTGTAATTTTCTGACTTCTTTCTGGATTTGCTCCTTAGCTCCAAAATTGAGCTAAATGGCTCTTTTTAGCCTGTTTGAACTTTATAAACCTGAAATAGGCAAAAACACAAATAAATACTAAAACATGAAAGTAAGATAGATGAATGAACTAAAATACCCTAGCTTAGGTGTTAAAATGCATCACATTTGAGCACTTATCGCACCCCCAAACTTAGATATTGCTAGTCCTTAGCAATGAACTACAAAGAAAAGAAAGAAATAAACATCTATACAACTATGAACTAGAAATCAATAAAATGATAGCGCCACTTTCGTAAGGAACACGATGTATTTAACGTATGCAATAAGCCTTTTAAACCCCTAGGTTACCCCTAGTGGACGAGTGAAGTCCCGTGAAGGTTTCCAGAAATGATACCCACAAATATTGAGCTATTTCTCACTAAAGAGGCACCAATATACAAAACAAGCATTAGGAGAAAACTACCTCAAATATGCAATTTTTCAACCCTTTCCAAGTAATCTCCCAAAATCTCAACATCAAGCAAGCAAATATGGTCCTCCACACGTCAAGACAATAATCATGCGAATAAAAACAACTCTAGAATCCTTTTTAAGTGAATTGGCATCAAATATGTTGCAATCTAAGCCAACCAAAGAAATAATCACATCTGGCCTCAAACTAGCATACAAATCTAGTACCGATCATCAAGACAAAGAATTGACCTTTTATTAAAGCTTTATTCATCTAGGTGCACTTATTCTTTTCACTAGAATTTTTTTTAACTATCTTAGAGGATCAAAGATGGAAGCATGGTGTAATGTGTTAATCTATTAAGCTTTTTAGCAATCTATGAAGTCGAACGTTAGGTCAATGACTCCCAAACTAGACGGCTTTAGGGCATTAGGTGTTTAAACACCCCTAAAGACTTAAAAACTCAAATCAACTAGGCTACAAATCAAAATGACCTCCATCTAATCATTTCCCACTTCTCACCTTTTGGAAGAAGTCCTCACTTTTTTTTATTTGCTTTTGTAATTTTTTTTTTTTTTAACCTACAGTTTGGGCCTACCACCTTTCGGCGTGAGATATTCAGTGCTTGATAAGGCTAGAATCCCGGCTACTTAGTAAAAAGGGTTTGTTATCTATCTTTATCAGGAATGAAAGCTTTCAATGCACTACTAGTTCAATTGGGATATAACTAAATCAATAGTCAATAAAGCATGTACCCCACAAATGAATACTAATGTGCGCCTGTGCTAGTGTAGAATCCTAGAGTGAATCTCAAAATAATCATAATATCAGGATGATGTGGACCACAAATACAAGTAAGATATCAATCTTTCAAAAAATTTACTCCTAAATGGCATTCACAAAATATACAAGAAGTATTGGACTCTCAAGTCAAGCAATTTTTAAATTCTAAGTATCATGGTCCTCAAAAGATCAAAATCATGGCTCAAGACTCTCAAATCATATCATATGCATAGAAACTAATTGCGACATGTAAAATATGCTAACACACCCCTAAACTTAATCTGTGCATTATCCTCAATGTGCAAAGCAGCAATAGATAATAGAAAGAATATATTAATAGGGTGAAACAAAAGGGAGCCGACAAAGAAGTTTAGCTTTGGAAGGCATACCTCTAAACTTAAATTTTGAAAACCTGTTTGAAATGATCACACTAACAACTATCAAAGCACATGTATCAATGATATAAATGAGAGGTGAAACTGAAAACTGGTCAAAAATCATGGCATCTAGCAATGTAAAGCTCAGAATATCCAAAACTGAAATCAAAGTCTCAAAAATCCATATATAGCAAGTAAATCCAAAAATCAATGTATATCAATGAAACGCAAAAATAATATCCAAAACCAGTGTAAGTGTCAAGAGAGTGCAAAAATATCCCAATAATATCAGAGTATCAAAAAGTTAGTGAATCAGAGCAGATAATGAATAATAGAGAGAGAAAATGGTGGAATCAGGGAGCAGCATCCAATGCCATCATATCAGCAATGTGCTGTAGCATATCAAACATCTCATGACTGTGTCGAGTGAGAGAAGTGGTAAGGTTAGCCCGCAATGCTTCAAGCTCATGCCTCACCTCAGCTACATCTGCCCTCAAGTCATTGTGCCGCCTCAATAAATCATTATGTCTCCTCACCAGGTCATCATGCTGGCTCATGATATCCTTATGATGCTCGATCATATCAGCTCTGAATGAAATGAAGTTTGTGTGCAGCTGAAGGACGTCGGATTTGTAGCTAGAATCAGTGCTGACATATCGGGATCGAATGTTGGTCTATGCTATCGGCTCGGTGGGAGGGACAAGAGAGGGGTCATCCAGCTGAGATGCAGTAGGTACATCTGGCTATGAGGTAGTGGCTATAGTGGTAGTGCGACGCCTTTGTCTAGGAGGAGATCTATCAGCTGTATCCTCTATAGCTGCCTCATCTGCCACTCTCTGCTGCGTATTCTGTCCTTTTATACCCCTGTTCTTTCTATTTTTAACACAAGAATTATAGGTCTTTGTCCATCTGGCCTAGTCATAGACTCTCTTATCTCTCTCTGCATCAGTCTCTGGGATCTTATTCGGGTCAAATTGATAATCCTGGTCATTGAGTAACTGAGTAATCAAGTGGCCATAAGGTAAAGGCTAAGCTGCAGCTCTAGAATTGCATGTATGATGCAGATTCTTCTAGAACTTGTGAAAGAGCTCCCAAATAAGTGTAGGAACAGAAATCCAATAACCATAGCTTAAACAGTATAGAGCCTGAAAAATCCCCTCTGTCCTCTGAGTACCATGGCCTGATGGAAAGGCATTGAGGTACAACACCGAATCCATGAACCAATACTGGGGATCAATGTCAACCCGGTCTGCAAAGGTGTTGCCCTCAAAGGGAACATGTGGAGATAGAGTAGCTACCATAGTCAGCTCAGAGGGAAAAGGTGGTGCACTATGATATAATGGATCCTGAGAATCAGCAGGTAGTGGAGATGAATGGGGGCATCGACAGGTGACAACTATGGTCAGGAGTGAAATATCGATCTCTTGACCGTTAATGGTGGTATGCAACAGAAGTCTGTCATCCGTATCCATCCGGAGGTACTGGTAGAATAGTGCAACCAACCAGGGATAGACGACTGTCTCTACCGGTGTTATGATGGCGTCAATGCCCCTCTGAACAAGCTCATCATAGGACCACATGGTCTGATCCAAGTGTGAAAATAAATCACAGTCGAATCTATACTCTGGCTCTAGTTTTCGACTAGATTAAGAAATAGTTGGTACCTCTCTGACAATAGGATGCTCGGCCTCCATAGAAGATGGCTCGGAATGGGATGCTGTAGATGCAGAAGAGGAAGACGAAGAAGAAGACTTTGCCTCTAAAGGAGGAGGTGGTGGAGGTTATGGAGCTCTGTGTAGCAAGAGTCTTTTATCTACGCTGCATTTGCAAAAGCAACAAGAATAAATCAATGCACAAGTATAGGATCAGGTAAACAATTGATAAGAAAACACAAAGCATGCCTAAATCAACTAATAACAGAGAATAAATAAATAGGATCATGCTTGTGTAAGAAATGATTAAGAAGGCTTCAAAATTATCATTCAACATGCCTCAGCTAGACAGAATAGATCAAAGCACAATAAGCAATCTCAGATATGCAATAAGGATATAGAGGGTAGAACAGTCACATTTGGAACATTCTGAGCAACAATGTGATCAATAGGGTAAGCATAGGCTGTACTATGCATAAATGATGCAACGTGCATTCACAAACCTAAACATAAATAGATGCTGCAATGATAAGACAAGTAGACCATATGATGACATCGTATCAGTTCCTAAGCAAGAATGTCTACAAGTGCAATAGTGAAGATCAAATGGAGCAAACAGGATAACATAGAGCATATAATCATAGCAAATGTCAACCTAGGACTTAAGAAGCATGCATATCATGTAATAAAGACTAAGTGGAATGCATAGTTGCAAAACACTTCAATCTAAAGTATGTTATGACAGACAAGTTAAAGAATGAATCCTAGACATGGCATACAACTAGATGGCACATATTTAAATGATGCACATATATCAACAAACTCTAGATAGAGAAATATCCCGTATTCCAATGCAACAAAATCAACATCCTATGATCACTCATAACATGTGACCCCCTCTAAGCAATAGATAAACAAAAAAATGATCGTTTATGGCTCGCGACCCCCTTTAAAGCTTAAATGAAGCATAGAATGGTCAAAAACTGAAAATACAAGAAGCTTACCATTGTGGGATCAAAATCAGAGCCGGAAAGAACCTCGATCATAAGCCCTTACTTGGCTTTCAAGAAATGGATCACAAGTGGATGATATCAAGCAAATGGCATTTTAACAGATAATTTCCATGACAGAGCAAACATATCCTCAAACTCATGTCAAATTGCATTTCAGAATTCAATTTAAGCTCAAAAAGTGATACTAAGGCCAAAGAACATAAATGACATCCCAAACATGTATTTTGAACTACAAACACCCATTTCCTACCCCCAAACTTATTCAAAGATTAATTCCAAAAAGACATGTTCAAAATATGTACATAAACTCTCAAAACCATCAATGTGACAAAATTATGTGCAAAATGGTGTATATACAAGCAACAATGTGCATTTATTCCAAAGTGCACACAATTATTCAAATAGGAACACATTTGACAAGTTTCAAGGTCAATAAGTAACAGTGAAATCATTTAACTTCAAAAAGTTGGGTTGGAATGACAAAGTATCTCATTTTGCACGAGAAGATCAAAATCATGATAAAGAAGGTCAGAAAATATCAAACTTATGCCCTAGCATGGCAAGAATTAAGATTTTTATCACAAACAAGTTTAAAGGCACTTAGCACATGCAATTGGATGGAAAGAAATCAAATGGAACAAGGTTCAACCCAAACAAGGGCATTTTGGTCAACTTTGGAATTCCTCGACACTTTTGGGGCAAAATTAGAATTTTTGAAGACTTTGGAATCAAAACATTCAATTACATTATATAAAAGCTTATGACAAGAATCATGCAACTCAATTTCTCATTTTTAAAACAAAGTTCAAAAATTTCCTTTTTAATCATTTAAAACCTAACAAGTGTGATCACAAAGCATTTGAAACATTCAAGGGTCATTTTACCAAAACAATGCACTTGAATCATGAGTATAAGTCAATTTAAGATCAAAACTTTCAAGAAAGTTCCATTTGAAACTCATTTATGCAATTTAAACATGACTTCGCATTTTCAAGTTCAAAAGCACAAATTTCAAATCAAGTCATGCATTTAGAACAATTTAGAATCAAACCATATCCATGCATTGCATACTCAATACAAACAAAATGAAACAAGTCAGGAATCATGCTCACAAGTATTCAAACTATAAAGCCATTGCAACTTTAAAATTTTCAAAAAAATTTCAAGTTCAAAAAGTGTCCATTTTCAATTCAAATTAAAATCAACATACCACTTTGATAAAGTCATGACAATCCAAGAACCAAGAACTTCGCATTTTATCTCAACTTAAAATTTCAAAATAATTTTCCAAAGATTTGAAAATTTTCCTTCTTTCAACTCAAATCAACATCTTAACCTCTAAACTCTTTCCAAATTGCATTTCAAATTTCAAAAATAACCCACATGCCTTTTGGAATGAAATATCAAAACTCAAATCCAATTTTTAAAAAGTTCAGCATGATTTTCCTTTAAAAATGGTCATTTCCACAATTTTCAAACACAAGAAACACATATGTATTTCATCATTCAATCAAAATCAATAAGCATATGGAATTCAAAACAACTTCATTCAAATAATTCAATAAGGGACACTACCCACAAGCACATATATCCATGATAAAAATGCCTATTCTCCTTCTAAACTACAATTCATAACCATACTTCAGATTTTGCCCATCCTCCATTCAACCAAATTCACTATATTCAATAGTCACAATCCATAGGTCATTGTTCCATTTTTTTTTTTTTTAACACTTCTTCATTATTTATATTTTTTTTTTTTTTTTGATTTTTCAATTTTTATTTGTTTTTAATTTTTTTTTTTTTTTTTTTTTTTTTTTTTTTAATTACAAGCATATATACAAATGACAATAACAATGGAAAATACAAAACAAAAAAAAAAAAAAAAAGAAAACAAAAAAATTAAAATAAAAGATAATGAAATTGAAGTTACCCGATCCAAGAGAGAGAAGAGGAGATTGAAACGAAGGATTCAGATCAAAACGGAGGTGTTCCAGAGAACATGACCAGAGACTCGCAGAAGTCTCGCCGGAAATTTCAGAAGCTTGCCGGAGCTAAAGACAAACTCTCCTTGGCCTAAATCGGCCGAAGATGATGAAAATAAGGTTACCCGAGAGAGATTGAGTGAAAAAGATGGGAGAACTCAGCCCCTTGGCCAAGAATCTCGCCAAAAATGATGAAAAAAATGGCGGCGAGGTTTGTGCTTCCTTGGGTTTGTCGGATGGAAGAAATAAGAAGGAGGTTGGAGTGGTGGTGGTTTCACCGGTGGGAGATAGAGAGATTGAGTTTGAGAGGAAGGGAGAGATAGAGAAATCGGGGAAAGAGAGAGAGTTTGCCGAGAGAGGGAGAAAATAAAGAGAGAGAGAGAGATGGAGGAAGAGAGAGAAAGAAAGAAAGAAAAGAAAAAGAAAAAGAAAAAGAAAAGGGAAAAGGAAAATAAAATAAAAATTAGGGCTTAGGGTGGAAATTGAACGGCCAAAGCATTTTTCGAAAATTCAAAAGACGCAATTTCGATCGATCGAAGGATTTTCGATCGATTGAACACTTTCTTCGATCGATCCAAATGTATTTTGATCGATTTAGATGAGCTTTGATCGATCCAAATGTATTTCGATCGATTGAGATGGAAGGTGAAAAGTCACAGATTCAAGGACTTTGATCGATCGAAGTGGAATTTCGATCAATTGAACTTGACTTCGATCAATCGAAGCTTCACTGGAAGTGTAGAAAATACAAGGAACTGCTCAGCAACTAGATTTTTCAATTCGACTCATATCTAGACGACGCAGAAAATATCAAAACAAGAAATGAGGGAGGAATACGTTAGCAAACCCTACAAAGCACTAGTCTTTAACGTCTCTAGCAAGACGTTGGGCTCTTTTAGCCCGGATCAAAAATCTTAGTATGCATCCCCTCCTTAACGGGGTGAATGGAACTTTGAATCCCACCCAACAAACTATTCCCTAAGGAACTTGTTGGATTTGGTTTAAGTGAAATTGATGGCCCTTGATCAATAAAACATTTTGGCTTCCATGCTCGTGCAAAATTAGACTTAAAAACTCTTTCATTTGAAACTTTTTTGGAAAAGAAATCATTTGAAGTTTTAACACCAAGCAAAGACTCATTTTTGTCAAGTTCATTCTCAAAACATTTTTCAACAACACATATCTCTTCATGTTTGTCCATAGAATTAAGGGTTGGATTAAAAATATTCAACTTCACTTTCATGTGACTAAATGAAATCTTCATTATCCCCATCTTACAATTGATGTTGGCATTACCGGTAGCCAATAAGGGACGGCCAAGGATAACAGGAATTTGGCTTTTAGAATTTGGGATCGATTCTGTGTCAACGACAACGAAATCAATCGGTAAGAAGAACTTGTCAATTTTAATCAATACATCTTCAATGATACCCTGGGGCTTCTTAATGGATCGGTCGGCTAGTTACAAAACTATTGATATCGGTTTTAAATCACCTAAGCCTAATTGAACATAAACCGAGTAAGAGAGAAGATTCACACTCGCTCCTAAATCAAAAAGAGCCCAATTAATAAGATGATCACCAATAGTGCATGAAGTAGTCGATGAATCGGGGTCTTTGAATTTTAAGAGGGTGTTGTGTTGTAAGATTGAGCTTACTTGCTTGGTTAAAACAACTTTTCTAGGTGCTTGGCTCTTGTTTTTCCTCTTAAGAGTACAAAGATCTTTCAAAATTTTGGCATAAATCGGAATTTGTCGAATTGAATATAAGAGAGGAAGATTGATTTTAACTTGCCTAAATACATCAATGATTTCATTAGCCTTGTTTTGTTGCTTTTCAAGAGAGATGGATGCTTTTGAAGCTTCCAGAAACGGAGCTTTAGGCTCGAAAACTTTTTCAAAATCATTATTTGCAACATTTTCAACATTAGATTCATTAACATGCAATGAAGGAGGAATATGATGTGAGATGGGATGGGTGTCAACTTTGGGTTGCACCGGTTCACTCTCTTTATTGGGAACACCACCTTGATTGTCAAAAACTCTTCTACTTCTCAAAGAGGTCACCACATTCACATGTTCAAGTGTATGACCTTCCGAAGAGGAATTAGTCTCTACAACAAATTGTTGTTTTGGTGGTGGATTCAAAGGCATTTTCCCTTTTTCTCTAGCATTCAATGTACTAGCTATTTGCCCAACTTGGGTTTCTAGCTTTGCAATCGATTGGGAATGAGAATAAAGCAATTGGGTATTTGCCTACAAAGTACCCAAAGCGGATAAAACTTTCTCTTCAAATGCGGGCACTAAAAGAAAAACAGTTTTTTAGAACGCCCTTTTACCACAGTTTTAAAATAACCGTGGTAAAAGACACCTTCTACCATGGTTAAGGGAAAACCGTGGTAGTAATTGTATTTTCTAGCACGGTTATAAAAGAACCGCGGTAGAAAGTGAATTTATTGGTAAAAAAAGTGAATTAATTTAACACAAATTTAGACCTGCTATTTATACCACGATTAATGGAAAACCGTGGTAGTAAGTTATTCTACCACGGTTCAAGCACCATGGTAGAAAGTGAATTTAGTGCAAGGCTTTACGCGGGTCTTATTCCCGCTACTTACCTTAAAATTTTAGGGCAAATCATTTCAGACCCCACACACACACGGACAGACCACATACGGGCAAATCATTTCAGCCTCCTAAATCGCCTCCATCTCTATTCTCGTTCTCAACTCTAAACTTGCCCTCTCTCTGTCTCTGCGACTGCAAACTACAAAATTTACAAGAATCAGATCAGCCTCCCAAATTGCCTCTATCTTTATTCTCGTTCTCAACTCTGGACTTGCCCTCTCTCTGCCTCTATAACTGCAAACTACAAAATCTATAAGAATCAGATCAGCCTCCCAAATCACCTCTATATCTATTCTCGTTCCCAACTCTGAACTTGCCCTTTCTCTGTCTCTGCAACTGCAAACTACAAAATCTATAAGAATCAGAACCTATATCGGCATATCATTTCAGATTGTTCAAAAAATCAAAACCCATATCCTTCAATTTCCATCGCCCGCTATTCCAGTTCAGGTTCACCGTTCGCAAGCTTCAACCGCTGGCCCTCTTTCTCTCAACTCTCAAACCCCTCTCTCTGCAACTGCTAACTTGTATGTATGGGTTTTGTTTTAATTTTTTTCTTTTCTAAATCAATTAATCATGTGTCTGTAATTCTTGTTTTGCAAACTAAATCCTATTTAGTGAAATTTTTTGCAGGATTTGAAAGATTAACTGGTAAATTTGGGTTGAAACAAGCTGAAGGCCCTTATTTAGGTAAGTTATTTCTTCAATTATTCAATATAAATATTTTTAGGGCAAATCATTTCAGCCTCCCCAATCGCCTCCATCTCTATTCTCGTTCTCGATTCTGAACTTGCCCTCTTTCTCTCTCTGCGCAACTGCAAACCACAAAATTTACAAGAATTAGACGTTGAAAACCCATATAATTCCGTTTATCTATCTATTTGCAAGAATCAAAATTTCAAAACCTATTACCTATATCAAAACCCATATCGGCATATCATTTCAGATTGTTTAAAAAATTAAAACATATCCTTCAGTTTCCGTTGCCGGCTGTTCCAGTTCGAGTTTGCCGTTCCACTTCGGGTTTGCCATTCATAAGCTTTAGCCGCTGGCCCTCTGTCTCTCAACTCTCAAGCCCCTTTCTTGCAACTGCTAACTTGTTGTATGGGTTTTGTTTTAATTTTTTTTTTTTTTTTTGGCAAAGCAGTCAATATTAACATACAATGTGAATATTTTATATTTGTTAGCATTACATTTTTGAAATATTTTTCTGACAGGATCCATGACCAACAATTTGTTAGGAACTTAGGAGCAGAACAACACCATGACACTCGAAGGTAAAATATTTAATCCACAACCACTTCTATTCTGATTCATTTTTCAATGCACCTTTATTATAATGATGCTTGCTTTGCTTGGTTTAATTCTAGCAACTTTACAACTTGCTTTACATTATCTTAATTCAATTAGCTGAAGAATTGTTAGAATTTAAGTGAAGAGTTGTGTTGGAAAATGGAACCACACATACTAATTTTAGAACTGAAATATCTATACTTAGAATTGTAATATTTTAAATTAAATTTGGATATGATAGTACAATTATTAATGAGTTTACAGGCTTTTTTTTTTTTTTTTTGGCTCAAATTGATTGCATTTTGAAATTACTATGGATTTTCGAAGTTGATGTTAACATGCTGTCAAAACTGTTTTGTGAGCAGAATTTTTCCTATCTTTTCCTTCAAACCTGATTTAATCGGTAAGAAAATTTATTGATTTAAATTGATAGAAGAAAAATATAATGTTAAGCTTCCAATGGACTTTGGTTTCATGCAAATTGTTTGAGAATTTATTCTTTTATGAATTTTCAAAGGGAAGTACGTTTTTTTTGGAAAACCTATTTCAAACAGATTTTTGGGTTTCCTTCTAATTTTTGGTGCTTCAGATACTCCAATCAATTAAAAAAAAAACAATAGTAAAAGGAGCAATAATCTTGGTTTACTAGCGTTATCCCATTTTTTTGTTTTTTTTTTCCACTTGTGTTATCCCATTTCAGCTAATAACAAGATAGATCGATTTAATTCCAGTGCCCAATAAAAAAGTGGTTTGTTCATATATTTATAAGGAAATATATATATATATATATATATATATATATATATATATATATATATCTTTTCTGATGGAGGCCCACCCCTTTCCCTTATTTCATGGATATAAAAATAAAAATTAGATGATAGGTAATATAAAAACTAAAAAGTGTAAAACACTAAGCATTAAAGCATAATTATTCATTAATATATGATCCACCCTAGTGGTGTTGAAACCCTTTCAGCTCAAAGCTTTCCCAATTACAATTCAATCCAAACCAGTGGTGTTGAAATGGCTTCCCATTCCATGGATTCTCTGTGGACTTCTCATATGATCATGCAAAGAAGTTTTAATGATGTTTTGTGATCTTGAATTTGTGTGTATTTGTTTATAATGCCCCTTATTTTTGAGTTTTTTCATTTAACTATCTCCACTTAGGGTGTATTTTAGTGTTATATTTTCTTTAATTGATTTTCATGTACTTGAAATGTAGTCTTCCAAAGGGGCTGGGAAAAGACAACAACGGGAGCGTGGATTACATGGCCAATCAAGTACATCAAAATTTGTAAGTTATATGGTCTTTATGTTTGATAAAATTCTTTTATGATTGCACATTTTTAATGCTTCTTATACTTATACTCAGGGGGGTCACTTGCCTTTAAGTGACCAATTTTGTGGTGTATCTTGAACTTTATTACCTTACTCGTACATCGGCCCTTGTGGAGGCCATTTTTATTTCTTGTTTTAAAATGTTGAAAGCATGGAAGTATGGGATCAACGTATGTGGAGGTTTTGATTGATTGTTGTGGAGGAGAAGTTGTTGATATGTTGTTTAAGGAGTTAATGCAAGTTGACAACTTAAATTTTTTTTATGTATTAGTTGTTATTCATATTATATGCATATGATTGATGTAAGAAAAAATGGGGTGGATTAATTACCTTTAAAAAAGAGTGCTATAGTCACATCTGTATTCTCTAGTACCATATGTTTTAGAATGGGCTTTCCAGTCAAATTGAACCGCATATCTCTTTGAACACTTCTCACACTTGTACTTCTTCTCACCATGCTTTTTTGAGTAGTGCTTCTTGATTGTGTCCACTTCTCACAGATACACCTTCCTCTTCACTTCTTTTGTAGTTTTCTGCTTTAGCTTCCAAGGTAGGTTGTGTCCTCTTATATGGAGCTGGAGGTGGAGGTTTTCATTCAAAGGAAAACCGTACCAGTCTCAGCTTAATCTCAAGTTGCCCATCATTGATTTTGCTGAATTGCAAGGTCCAAACCAGTCCCAAGTCCTCAAGTCCCTTGCCAATACTTGTGAACAATATGGATTCCAAACAACAAAAAACTGAAAAACCCATGAACTAGAAGACCTAATAAGAATCAAATTAGGTTTACAAAAGTACCTAAATCACAAATCTAGAAATTCCATGGATGTCCAAGGGGAAAAAGAAAGAAAAAAAGACAGGTTTGATATAACCAATTAGTTGCATCTGAAAGTAGAGATAGGTTTGCCCCTAGATTTTCAATGCTTGTATGACCTTGCAACACCTAACATTCACCCCTTCTTTTGGTAACCAAAAAAACTAAGGTGTGAAATTATAGTTTCAACAATCAATTTGGATTTATGCCACAAAGATCAACAATTGGAGCTATTTAAATAAAATTAAAAAAAAAAAATAGATAAAAGTGCCAACAAAAATAGATAAAACTCATAAATATAAAAATTCAATCCTAAAGTACCTAATTTGTGCACTTTAAAGGATGATGATAGAAACACAACCAGGTAAACTCCAGGGAATTGGCTACTAATCATGCAAAATAATATAGCTGCTTTTTCCATAACTTTACTAACTAGGATGCCCATTTATTGTCAACTATCATATCTAGTTCAAGAGCAGTGAAATATTTTTCCTAGGAATAGAGTTTTAAGGGAAATTTTCTCAGTCATTCTAGCCGACAACACTTTTATGATTGGCTAATGCTGATGAATCCCTTTCATTTTTTTTGAACTTTATTTGGTTAAATTAAGGTGAAACATCAACTATTCTTCTATACTTTTAGAAAAAAAGGTGCTTATTTTATGTGCATTTGAACTTAAAAGAAATAACTAATGGTACATAGGATATACGCCACCTAGGGAACTTTGTTTCCCTTCAACCAATTCTAGTGGGGTGTGAAACTACCACTTTGAAAAATAAAGCATATATTCGCACTACCAATCATTATGATTCTTTGTTGGCCATTTAAAGTGTTCTAATTTTGATGAAGAGTAACCCTATAATGAAAAGAAGTTATAAATAATCAAACATTTTCTTCTCATGACATGAAACATATATTTAATTATTGACAATGGCCTGATCGTACCTATGATTAAAATTTATTAGTATTTAATTAGAGACTTTTTTTATCAACTATACACGTGCATATATGTGCATGGAAATTATATCTTTCTTCTATGATTTCTATCTTTTTGTTGCATAGAATCATTTCAACCATACATGCACTTACGCAGAAATTATCAACTTTTAGTCACGCGAGAAACAATCCATCTTAAAACACCCATTTACTTTTTAAAGGTAATTCTGGATTCGGATTCGTCTTGGGCTTGGGCTGTTTCCTTCATGCTTTCTTCTCAGATATGGACAGAGTTTTGCTACTTCATTGCATGTGATTTTCCTTCAAAATTCATAAATGAATAGAAAATAAAATAAATAGGTATCGTGCTCACAACAATTGGTGTGATGAAAATTGAAAGGAAGGAAAGTGAAGAAGGAAGGATGGATGAGGTATTCAAGGAAAATGAAGGACTTTTATTCATTTTGTTTAGTTGGGTGTGAAGGAAATGGGTAATGCATAATTTAACTGTTATACCATTGAATGGTTAAAGAAGATGTTTATCTACAAGGGCAAAAATGCAAAAGGAGGAGTAGAGATGCTTCCCTCTCGGCTTCTGCCCACTTTAAGGCGGAAGTATATGATGGTCTCAAAGGGAGACCTCCTACCTATTCTTTTCCTTTCCCTCCTTTTCATCCACTTGCTTCTCCCCACTCCTCTTCCTCTTCCTTTTTCCAAAAAAGAAAAACAAATTCCCACACCAAACATAGCATAGATGTAACTTTTCTATTTTCCAGTTGCTGAATAAAACCATTTGCAATATGAAATTATCTTCCACACTCGGACAAATCCAAACTTAGGTAAACACGAAGGAACTTCCTTTAGGGACTTCACCAAACCATCCATAAGAGACTATATGCATCACATTCATTTTATTTCCCTCTGAAATTCCTATCTTCAGAAAACTGCATCTTCAAACAAAATTTAGAAAGTTCTAAAAGAAGACCAATGTTCATTTACCCAGAAAAATTTCCCATTAATAAAATGAAAAAACAGAAGGTCATTTGGTACTGATTAAAATAATTTAATTTAATAACATAAATATCTATATAAAATAACAGAACAAGGATATATACTTTTTTACCTAACTCATATACATCTGGAACATATGCAGCCGACAAGATGTGACCAAAACTGTAAGGTGCTTATGGTTTCCTTAAGGCAAATGCCACACCCATGACAACAGCCAAGACCAGCACCCACAGCTACAGCAGACAAAGAGGTTACCTTGGCTTGAGAATCTTGATTTGCATCTACTGTAGTTACTGCATGTTCTCGCGCCAATTCCATCAAAAGCCTATCTCTAGCAAGTTCCTTTGAAATAAAGTAAAATAAAAAGAAAGAAAGTGAACTTCAGTTTTTGTCCCCAAGCATATTAATTGTGTTGTTATTTTCATTGTCTCTATCTATCATGAATGTTCTTTTGTGTGTATGTGTGTGTGGTGGGGGTGTATGTGTGTGTGGTGGGGGTGGGGTAGGGAATGGGGCTAAAGGTAAATTAATTTGAATTATAACAAATCTTGTTATTGTGGGATATTATTTGAAAACTTGAAGTACTATTATATAGTAAAAGCTAATGATATTTCAGCTAGCTTATATAATTACAAAGCTAAGTGCATGTAACTAGAATTCTAATTAGTCTCAATGTTTCTTTGGTTCATCTCTATTTGATTATGATATATATTACATTGAAGATTTGAAGGAGGACTATTATAGTCATGCATTACTAAAATGATTTCTTTTGGTGACGGGATGTCAATAACCCAAGATATAGTTAATACGAAGAGTCTATTGTAATACTTGTTTTGTTTGGTTTAATTTTGACAACTTTACAACTTGCTTTACATTATCTGACTTCAACTATTTCATCTTTGTAGGTCAAAGCTAGGATTGCGGTTGCCGTTACTTTTTTTGTTGCCGTTATATTTTTTGTATGGCTCATAAGGAAGTTGCATATATGTAATGGAAGAGAGAGACTGAAACAGAGCAAGAAGATGTAAGAATTTTTGTTTTATTTTGGTATATGGTATAAGAAGCAAGAAATTTGTATATGGTTAATTTTTGTATAAAACAATGATTTGAAATTTGTTATATATATATGATGTTGTTGGTTAGTTGTAAGTTATTTTGGTTATGATGTTATTTTTTATTTATTTAGTGTTTGCTTCTGGAGTCCTTGAAAGGCTAGTAGCAGGGGAAAAAAAGGCCTCATGGGGGTTGCACTAATTTTTTAAAAAAAAAAAACTATATACCACTTTCTACCACAGTGTAGAACCATGGTTGAAAGAACGACTTCACGGTTGAAAGAAGACTTTCTACCACGGTTATGCACCGTGGTAGAAAGGGCACTTTCTACCACAGTGCAAAACCGTGGTAGAAAGTTATGCCTTACTACCACGGTTCAAAACCGTGGTAGTAAGTGTTTTCCATTGTGGTAAAAAACTCTTTTTCTTGTAGTGGAGACTCCTTGAATTTCCTTGAGAATATGATAATTGGTTTAGAAAATGTGAGTTTGAAAATTGGTTTCAATGGGATGCTTGGTAAGATGAATAATAACCTTGGGAACCTTGGCCTTGCATTTGGGAAGAAACATACTTGCTTTGGAAACCACTTTGGGGAGGCTTTGAGCATTCCCCTTGGCTTTTTCAAGAAAAGTTTGGATGATTCCTCCAACCGGCATTATAATGAGTGCCGTAGGGATTATTCCCTTGATTAACAAAAGTGGCATTCACTTGTTCATGATCTTCACTTTGCACATGTTCATGAGGACAATTGGAAGTAGAATGTAAAACACTAGAACAAGTCATGCATGATTCATTGGAAGGATGATGAGTATGATTAGGGGAGGAAGATACTTGGTTGGCCGAATTTTGGTTGATCAAAAATTGATCAAACTTTTGGGATAAGAACTTCACTTCGGCGACTATATCATTAGAATGGTCAACTTAATATAGGCCGACATTCTTCCTTCGACCTACATTTGTACCATTTTTAGATGATAAAGATCTATGCATTGAATTTTCACTCATACTTTCATATAAGCGCCATATATTATCTTCATGCCTATCAAGATAAGAACCACCAATAGAAGCATCAACCATACCTTTATAGTTGTCCAACAAACTTTCAAAGAAGAATTGAACTAATTGCCAGTTAGGGATGTCATGGTGTGGACATTTCCTAAGCAAATCGTTCAATCGTTCCCATGCCTCATGAAACAATTCCCCATTCCCTTGTGAGAATTAACGAATTGAAGTTCTCATTAAATTGGTCTTTGACATCGGATAATACTTTTTTAAGAACTCTTATTACATCTCTGCCCAAGAAGTTATAGAAAAAGGCCTCAAATTGTTAAACCAGTATTTTGCTTTATCTTTAAGGGTGAAAGGGAAAAGTTTTAACCTCAAAACTTCTTCTGGCATGTCCGTGTATTTCACGGTGGATCACACTTCAAGAAACTTATCCAAATGCTTGTAAGGTTCTTCACTTGGTAGCCCATGGTAATTGGGAAGCATTTGACTTGTTTATAGTTTAATCTCATAATGATGTACTCTAAATGGAGGTAATTGAATGCATGTTGGTGCATTATACTCATTTGACACATAATGATCTCTTAAAGCAAAGGGAGGATTCACAACTGGTGGCTCTACACGAGCACTATGATTTGCTTGAACAATTAGAGGTGGAGGTAGAACAAAAAATGGCCGAGGCATTCCTATTTGAACTTGGCCTTGTTGTTGTGGAATAAAGGGTCTAGGCATGCCTAATGGTACTTGAATGTTATCATGATGTTGATGCACATTAGGATGAAGAATGCCTTGTTGGTCGATGTGACCAGGGTCTTCAACATAGTCCTTATTATGTTCCTCCATTGATGAAATGGAGTCATTAGAATTACCCCTTCCTCTTGAATTACAAACAATTGATTCAAGATTCAAATTTCATGGGACAAGGTTGGATTCAACGACCTACAACCATGCATGCACAATCAAAACAACAACAACAAGCAAGTAACAAACATTTCTCCTCCGCAATAAATCAATCAACAAACCTCCACATACATTGATTCCATACTCCCATGCTTTCAACAATATGCAAGAAAAAAAATTGCCTCCTCACAGGCCAACGGTTTATCAAAGTAAAAGAGTTAAAAAAGCTCACAAAGGGTCATTAAGCAACTTCAATTTATGTTCAAATTTTGCCTTGTTTTGCTTTGTAATTTTTTTTATTTTTTATTTTTTATTTTTTTAGCTTTTTAGGCTTTTGCTTTTGCTTAGCATTGCTTGCTTCCTTACTTTAGAATCATTTTGCTTCACTTCCCTTGGCTCAATGTACCTAGCCAATCAAGAACAAACACAATAAATAAACAAAATAAAATGAAATAAAAACAAGATCAAAGGAGTACTAATTCCTAATTAAATAAAAAAATACGGCATTACCAAATCCCCGGCAACGGCGCCAAAACTTGGCGTGCCACTTCTCTTGTCGTCTATGATGACAACCAAATTGCAATGTGATGTGAAATGTGGCCAAGTTTGAATTTATAGAATGTCACTAGCACTACTAACTATTAAAGAAACAAAAGTGAGTAGGAATCATCCCAAGAGAAATGAACGGTACTTTGGAATCAATGTTGGATTAGTAGGTTGAACGATCAAAAGAAGGTTTGATTTGATTAAGCTAATAGTTCAATTAAAGCAAGCAATTAAATGAAAATCTAGAATTTAGAAAAAGTAATATGAGAGAAAGGTCTTAGGCTTAGAGTTCACCACTAAGCTTTACTTCAACAAACACTAGCAATTGTAAATTAATGGGGAAATTCAAATTGTAAAATGTGTGTGTGTGACACCAATTGAAAACAAAGCATAATGGATGGCAAATAAGTATATATTGTTTAATCAATCTAGTGAATAACACAACCTATCAAATAAGACCAAAAACCATTCAATTAAACCACAATTAGTGCACACACAATAATCTAGAGAAATGTACTTCTTGCACTCATAAGTATGGAACATCAAACAGTAAGAATAGATTGTCCACCTATCTAAGAAATTAGAGCAATTACACTACATCTAAACTAGTGACATGAAAATTAAGATAATTAAACTAAGGGTGTGGTATAATCCATCAAGAAATAAGTATGAACCATCAAATAAACCACAAGAGTAATCAATTAAGCACCATGCCTTGACCATCACTAGATTAACAACATCAACGCATGTAGACATGCATCAATTTCATTAAATCTAAAGGAAAATATATGAACATTCATTCTAGCATACATAAACATATGCATAGAACTAAATGATCAATTGAAAGCATTAATCCATACAAATCATGTAAAAATCGCAATATCTACATTTATTCATGGTCAAAACATCAATTACAACTAAAATTCCCAAAAATACACAAAAGCTAGGTTTTGGAAGCAAGCCTAGGGGCTATCTCTAGCCCCAAGAGAAGGATTTAGCCACTCATTATAGTGGTCATGGAACCCTCAAGGGCTACCTTAGAGGTTGGCATCATCATCTTCATCCTTGTTTTCTTCCCAAAACCCTAGTTCTAGAAAGAGAAACTATTTCTATATTTGGTAAGAACAACTCTCTATGATATTTTTACAATAATTGTTTAATATATCTATTACAAGCCTCTTTAAGTAAGCACCAAGTTAGAAATACAGCCTATGAATGGAGGAAATTCACAACTACTCAAGTTAGGTAAAGTCCGGTGCGCTCGGGAATTAGACAACATTTTATCAGCAGTCAGTTCGATCGATCGAATGATGTTCGATTGATCGAACACTTAGCTTCAATCGATCGAAGTTGATGTGCCCTCAAAAATATCTTTTCGGCCTTATCCACAATGCTGAGCTGGCACCGCCTCATTTCGATCGATTATAGCCAGCTTCAATTGATCGGGATTTCCTTCGATCGATTGAAGTTCCTCTGGTGCAATTTTCTGACTTCTTTCCGGATTTGCTTCTTAGATTTAAAATTGAGCTAAATGGCTCTTTTTAGCCTGTTTGAACTTTATTAACCTGAAATAGGTGAAAACACAAATAATTAGTAAAACATGAAAGTAAGATATATGAATGGACTAAAATACCCTAGCTTAAGTGTTAAAATGTGTCACATTTGAGCACTTATCATTTCTCATCTATTTTAGGAAAAGGTTTGGTAAAATTATCTGAGAATATAGATCTTTTATCTATTCTCCATGTCCCTAAACTAACCTGTAACCTTTTGTCTATGAGTAAACTAACCAAAGAATCTAATTGTCGTGTAATAATCTGTAATTCGTACTGTGAATTTCTGGACTAGAGCTCAGGGAAGAAGATTGGCAGTGCTAAGATAATAGATGGACTTTACTACTTTGATGGGGACTTCTCTAGTAGTAAAAAGGCTCAGGGTCTTAATAGTGTTAGTTCTTACTTTGTTTAAGAACAAATAATGTTTTGGCATTTAAGATTAGGACATCTTAACTTTCCATATCTTAAACATTTATTTCCTAATTTATTTAAAGGTTTGGATTATTCATCATTATATTATGAAAGTTTTTTCTTATCTAAGAGTCATAGTATTACTTTTTTGCCAAAACCTTATACTTCTTCAGAATCATTTTATTTAATACATAGTGATATTTAACGACCTTGAAGAGTCACTACTATCTATAGGAAAAAATGGTTTGTTACTTTTATAAATGATCATAACCGTTTATGTTGGGTTTATTTGATGAATGAAAAGTCTGAGGTTGAATTTTTTTTTTAAAGAATTTTTACACAATGGTTGAAACTCAGTTTCAAGCAAAAATTAGCATTTTTCACACCGATACTGGACCCGAGTATTTTAATGAAATTTTGGGGAGTTTTTTTAAAAGAAAATGATATCCATCATCAGTCTACTTGTGTGGATACCCCTCAAAAAAACGGAATTGCTGAAAGAAAAAATAAACATTTACTTGAACTGGCTCGTGCCATAATGTTTTCAATCAATGTTCCAAAATATCTTTGGGGGGAAGCTGTTTTAATAGCTTCATATTTGATTAGCAGAATGCCTACATGTGTTTTAAAATATAGCACGCCATTAGAATGTTTCAAAAGAATTTTTCCATT